CTCTGAGGCTGAAATTGCTTTGCCCTCCAACCAGGCTTGGCTGTAGTCAGTAGGATGGCAACTGCAAAGGGGCTAATCCCTTTCCAATGTCCCCCCTCAGGACAAGAAGGATTTTGTGGTGAAGCGGGTGAAACGGTTGCTGAAAGCCGGCGTCGTCTCTGCCTTAGCCTGCATGGTGAAGGCAGACAGTGCCGTACTGACGGACCAGAGCAAGGAGCTCATCGCCAGGTGCCTTCATTGCTCTCGTGGAAGCTGGGAGTGCTGGCCAGCCCATGTGCCACTAAGATGGGCGCCTGGGCTGGCTCCTTGCTTCGTGGGGTGATGCGTTCTGCCTGTGGGGGTGAGATGAAAGGGAGGAAAGATTTAAACCCGAAGTTTTTCTTAAGCAATGTCATAAAAATCCATGTTCTGACTTTGAAGCTGGCTTACAGGCCTGCCTTGCTACGATGCATTTTGAATTTCTAGTCCTCTGTACTGGTTTTGGCTGGAATAGAGTTCATCTTACAGGCCTGGAAACTTCTTACTGTGCCATTTGTTGCTTCCTCCTACAGTGCTATGGGCACTGGAATTTACCTGGTGGATCTAGCACCCCTGCAAAGCTTTAGCTCCCTTCCTGTGAGGGACATGGGTTATTGCCTTCCCATGTGGCTGTTTCACTAAGTGATGCTGTGCTTCTGCAGGGTGTTTCTGGCCTTGTGTGAAGACCCCAAGGACCGCGGGACCATTGTCGCTCAAGGTGGTGGAAAGGTGATTACTTTTATGTTTGCAGCCCAACCTGATGTGCAGTTAATGTCTGTTGGGAGCCTGCAATGTGTCTACGGTGAGGGAATGTGGCAGAAAAGCATGAGCTGTCTTGGTAGCCCCTGGGGCCCAGACTGACGCTCCGGTCCTCTCCCTGCAAGCCTCCAATGAAGCAATCTCCTTGAAACAACTGTGTGTGAGCTACAAGCTCTGGTGTGGTGCCTACCTGAGAACAAAAGCAAGACATCATGGTGGGCTACAGTCCAAACCCGTTTCTTCAACAGATACATCTTTAGGAAGTTTTTAACTTATTTTAGTATATTTAGGCCATCCTGTAAATCTTCTCAGAGGCACTGAATGCTTTCTTGTGTGTCACTAGGCCCTGGTACCTCTGGCTGTGGAAGGCACAGAAGTTGGCAAGATAAAGGCTTCTCATGCTCTGGCGAAAATTGCTGCTATCTCCAATCCAGACATGGCATTCCCAGGGGAGAGGGTAAGCTTAAAAAAAAAAAAATTAAAAAAATCTTGATAATTTCTTTAGCAAATGAAAATTGCCAAGATCCTTGAGCTGGAAAAGCAGTGACATGCCTTCTCTTCTTAGGTGTACGAGGTGGTGAGGCCCCTCGTCAGCCTGCTGAATACAGAGAGAGACGGCCTCCAGAATTACGAGGCTCTGTTAGGTCTCACTAACTTTTCAGGAAGAAGTGATAAACTTAGGTGAGTTTAACTGCTTTTTGACCTTCTTTCTTCCCCAGGAGTGAATGTGAATTTCAGTTCAACACTTTTCTTGTAGGACTATGAAGCCTGGTCAGTTTGAGCTACCACGGGCAGAGCTACAAAGGTCTCAGAAGTAAAAGATTAATAAAATAGCCAGGAAGAGGAGAGGGGCACATTTTTCCTCTAGAAAGAGGAAAGACATGAACCTAATCTGCATTAGATAAGAGTGAACCACATGTCATGACCTCCAGTGCTGCAGACACTGATTTGTTTCAAGGCCTCCTCTGTCTGTAGTTAATATTTTGTAAGTTGGTTATTGCTTGTCCTATGATGTATTTTATTTGGCTGCTCTTCAACATAGGATGAAGATAATCAAAGAGAGGGCCCTGCCAGATATTGAAAACTACATGTTTGAGAATCACGACCAACTTCGACAGGCAGCCACAGAGTGCATGTGCAACCTGGTGGTCAACAAGGAGGTAACGCGCTGGGCATCTCGGACTTGACTGAGTGCACCAGTTCGTGAGCCACTGTGATGAGGCGTTCCTAAATGTGTTATCTCTGGATATCATGGGTTTTTTTTTTGGGTTCAAGACGGGCT